TTCAGCATAATAACACTCGCCGGCAAAGATCTCGGCATAATAACACTCGCTGACAAAAACCTCGGCATCATAACACTCACCAGCAAAGACATCGACATAATTACACTTACCAACAAAGACTTCGACATCATAACACTCGCCGACAAAGATCTCAGCATCATAACACTCGTTGGTAAATACCTCAACATAATGACTCATCACATGTCTCATCACGACATTTACAATCAATCCATACAAACAATATCACACCATATGGAAGAGACAACAAATCATACAATTCAAGTCCACAATCATGCTTTGAAGCATTTCATCAATCAATCATCAAGGTCATAATAATACAATTCACATTATCATGTTCATCACCTAATCTTTTTCATTTCAACTCTTTTTCGTTCATTTAGATATAACAAGTGGATAATTTAAACCCTTCAACTCATTTCCATTACTCCCAACACACAATCAACGAAGGAAGAATACAAATTCAACTAGAATAGAAAGTTTAGGAAGCCACTTGTCATAAATCAATCAACAATCACTACAATAGTTGAGTCTTCCTATTCTGAATCATTTCCAAAGCCACAAAATCTATAAATAAGCAAGTATTCACAATCACTTTTCGAAAACAGCAACACCCACATTCATTGTCTTGAAAGGTGGGTCAATCAACACAATAACCAATTTCAAAAATAAGGTTTCAATCCCAAATTTAATACTTGACAACATTACTCAAGGCTTTAGGAACTCATTAGGAAAAATTATTTTGAAAAAAGAATCAAAACCACTTCAAAATTACTTTTTTATTAAATTCGTGGGGTTCTTGAAGATAGCCCAAATTTCTCATTTCAAAGATTGATTGAAACACATAAATTCATAAATAAAAATGGGTAGTTGAGATCTAGAGTTAATAATCGTTACCCAAAAGTTTTTACTCGAAAACCTAGTTCAAATTGCCTCCCCAAAGCTCTCAAACTCAAAAATAGTGAAATGAAGCTTGAACACAAAGTTTTTAAGCTTCTTAAATCTCCTTATGAATTAAAACAAACTTCAAAATAATGAAATGAGAAATTCAAACGAGTAATGATTTCTAATGGCTACTCAATCAATGGTGGTGATATTTCATATTTAGCAAATTTCAAGAAAATTATGGTGTTATGCTATGTATTTATGTAGATGATAGGTTGATCTTTGGAACTGATATTGAAAGAGTAAAAAAGAAACAAAATCTTTTCTAGTTTCTCAATTTGAAATGAAAGATCTTGGAGAAGCTGATGTAATTTTGGGTATTAAAATCATGAGATTGACTCTTACTCAATCAAGTTATATTGAGAAAGCCTAAAGAGGTTTGACCACTTTGACGACAAATCTGCCTCTACACCATTTGATCCTCGCATCAAACTAATGCGAAACTCTAGAGATGTTCTTGACCTATTGACATATTCTCAGATTGTTGGGAGTCTTATGTATGCCATGCATTGTACCAGATTAGATATTGGTTATTCCGTCGAAACTTTGAGCAAGTTTACTAGTAATCTTAGAGTTGAACATTAAAATGCCTTAATTCGTGTTTTAAGATATCTGAAGGGTACGATTAATGTTGGCATACATTATTTTACCTTTTAAGATGTTCTTGAATGCTATAGTAATGCTATATGGAATTCTGATCCAAATGACTCTAAATCTATTACTGCTTGGATTTTCACTTTGGTTGGAGCAACGATTTCTTGAAAATCAAAGAAACAGACATGTATTACTCACTCAACCATGGAGTCAGAATTTATAGCTATGTCTTGTGTTGGAGAAGAAGTTGATTGGCTGCGATCTATGTTGATAGTCAGTACCACATTTAACTATCTATTGTGATAATCAAGCTGCTATATTTTGGGCTTCAAGTGATTTCTACAATGAAATGTCGAGACAAGTTCGTCTCAAACACAATCATGTGAGTAGATTATTAGAGGAAGGCATGATATTGCTTCAATATGTGAAGTCTAGATTTAATTTAGCAAATCCTTTGTCTGAAGGGTTAGGCAAAGAGTTAGTGGTGGAAACTTGTAATGGGATGGGAATAAAGGTTGTTGTAAATTAATTGTACATTATGGTAACCCTAACTAATGATGTAATCTTGGGTTCAAAGGGAAAACAAGTAAAGTTACAATTGTGAAGCACATCAATAAAATTTCCATTTACAAAATAAAGAAATAAGTAGATGTGCATGATTGAGATTCTTTTTTCTTAATAAATTTATAAGACCAATCTTGATTGGAGTTATTAAGATAAATATTTTCAATATCCTTACTAAAGAGAAGGATGAGATTATGTTCTCTTAATAACTCTATAAATCGATTTCGGTTGGAGTTTGTAGGAATACTCTTAATAGATTTACCGTTACTTTGCTGCAAAGAATGATGAGATTAATTTCTCTTAATGAAATTCATAGACTATTTGGTCGGAGTATACAAAGTTACTCTTGATGAATTTACCGCACTAAGTGCGAAGTGGAGGCCGCTTCAATAAGGTGTTAACAGGAAAATCTTAAAGCACTTGGCTAAAAGGATTCAGGACACATGGCCGTAAGGTGTCAAAGGAGTTTGATTTTCACTGATACATGGTGATATGCATGGAGTATTTTTCTATTTCATTCAATGAACCACTTAGTTCAAGATTCGCTCACTAAGTAGTCAATGATTTAGAAAGTCGGCACTAGCTAATGGTTCAAGTCCAAAAGACATCAATATTGGTGCATGTTGCTAGATTAATGTCTCAAAATATTTTTTGAATTTTTCAAAGATAAAAATTTCTTGAAATAAGTGGAGGATTGTAAGAGTTAGTGTTTCAATTAATTTTGAAAAAAATTCATCCGTTAAACATTTTGAAATATACAAAATACATGATGTGAATTGTAACATTCATTTTTGTTCTAATTCTACGTTATAAGTATTTTCGAAGAGGCTTTTTAATTCTATGTTATGGTTTTTTGGAAGATACATTTTTCTTTTCAATTCATGAACCTATAATAAATACAATTTAATTAAAGACTTTTCTTGCAAAAAAAATTTCCTATAAATTGAGTTTCTTTTGGTTGAAAAGATAAGCACTAAAAAAAATTACTTTCTCTTGAAAAAGCTTTTGTGAGACATTAATCAAAAGGTGATATCACCAATTCAAGAATAGAAGAGCAACATTTTTTAATGCAACTTATTTTGTGGCTTAATTGAATCCTGAAGATAGAGTTGTTATTTATTCTTCCGTTTGCTCGTGGGAGAGACTCCAACTAACTTCAAGAAACATATTAACGTGCCTCTAAGCCAAGCAAGTTTTATTTTGGATTCCTTGTATTTTTGTCATTCTTGTTCTAACAACAGTATGAGTATATGTGAGTCATTTGTATAACGGTAAGGATATATATGAGCCACTTTCATAACGAGGGGTATATATCATTTGTAACGTCACATCTTCTATATTTGAATTTGAGTGCTCAAAACAAATATATATGTATTATTTGTTCCAAAAAGTATATGTTAGGTTAATTTTGGTCCACCTTATATAATGTCTTTTTCTACTTTCATTATCCAATGAGAACTGTCTTTAGAAACCACTTAGAAGTAGATACGAATATACAAATGGTCACCTTCTAAATTAAAGTATATATTTATGGGATTATATGGTACTCTTTTAAAGTTGGATGGCTTTGGACATATTGGTGTATGATTAATAGTTACATGCCCACTATATATTAAAAGTTGTCGATCCTTTTAGGTTTTTTTTTTTGGAAAACTGTGACATACTTTGTATATATTATTAACTTTAGAATGGATGATCAAAAGTTGATTCAATATGTTAAAAGAACTATATCACATCATTTGGTGCCGGTTGATGAATAATTCTAAGATATTTGTTGAAATCTTGTTTTGCCTTTGCACATTACTCACTATGATCCTTTTTTAGTTCGTAGAAATAATTTATTCAAAATACTTATGATAAAAAATAAATGGAGAAAGATAAATATATATTATAAATAGAGAATAGTATAAATTGAGATTAAATTAGGATAATTTAGTCAAATTATATTTTAAATGAATATAATTCACAAGGGTGTACCAAAATAAAAAACATAGACAAATAAAAGGGACAGTGTATTTCATTAGAACCTAATTAGTTGAGCAGTTCCAATATGTTAGTGCTAAATGACATCCAATTGAACATCTTAAAGTTGCAATTCTCTTTATTTATCACTCATGTGATAAAATAAAGCTAATAGAGTACATAATTAATATTTTCTTTCAACATGCACATCAACAATTAAAAAATATATTTGTCATTATTATGGTCTTGTCTTCTCTCAATTATTTCAATGAGAGAAGATTAATTAATTAGCATATTTGTCGATACTACAAGTCATCACCACCTTGATGAAAATTAACATGCATCTTATGAGCTATATTTAAAAAGGCTAGTTTGTATTTTAACTCGAAACTAGTTGTGTACAAATGAAAATTATAATTGCAACCATGTCAATTATGTAACTAATTGGTTTGAACAAGCTTATGGTAAAATTGTGTCTGATAATCGTATTGTTTATAATGATTTATAGATTTTTATGAGTGGAATAAAATCTTTCTTCGAAATATAATTACTTCGTTTGGGATGATACATAAATGTCCCATGACCCAAGTGACGGAGTCAGAAATTTGAGATTCGAACACATAAACATTGGCTCATTCAAAGCATCATTTTGTTCCAAACAAAACAAAAAAATGTTTCACATCCTTTTATGTTTACAAGGCTCCAATTGAACACAAAAAATAATCAGAGCCAACTCCAAAATCATATTTACCTCTATAAGATTTCTATATACTCTTATACTTTGTAGTACTAATTTTAGTGTAGTTTGTATAAATTAAATATGCAATATAATAAGTAATTATAGGTAGAGAAAAATGGACCAGCCACAAGTAGGCCTCTTCATATTGGACCTGGGCCTTTTCACATTGGGCCTGGGCTCAGCCCAGTGTACTTTTTTCACGCATTGAATTCATTTTCTCCAATCGCCACTCATCTCGGAGCCGAGCAATGAAAGAGTCCGCTTTCATGTTCACATCCGGGCTCGGGCAAGTGACCGACGGCCCCGTTGAATCTTCACCGTCCATTGCCTCCGACGACGATCTGACGGGCATATCGTCAACGTCAACGTCTTCAAGGTCCGGCGAGCTGCAGCGAGAGCTGTTCGCGGTCCGTATCCTGACGAAGTCACCGGAAGGGACGAAATTCATCTCCCGCATTTTGAACGGCGGCATAGGAGGCGGAGGTGGCATTGGAATCAAAGGTGATTGCGAGCCACTGTTCAAGTTATCGTCGTAGTAACTGGCGGCTGGTTTTGTTGGCAATGGAGGTTTGCTCCAACTGGATGAATGTCGACGTGAAGGTTGCGGTGGTTGCATTGGTGGTTGAGAATGCGTCGAACTTTTTCTCCGCCTTGATGATGAAACGTTTGCTTGTGGCGGAGGTGGAGGAGGAGGAGGAGGTGTTGGAGTCGAAATTGATGATTTGAATCTCCTGCTTTTGGTTCCATGTTTGAACAAATTATTGAGAATTGAAGAAGGTGGAGGTGGTGGTGGGGGAGGTGGAGGAGTCGATGTTGATGTTTGCTGGAATCGCTTACTTTTGCTGCCTGTTTTGAATAAATTGTTGAAAATTGAATTAGGAGGGGGAAGCGGTGGAGGAGGAGGAGGTGATGGCACATTGGAAGGATCGGAATGTATACGCTTACTTTTCCTATTCTTCTTGAACAGGTTCTGAAAAACCTTAGACGGAGGTGGCGGCGGTGGTGGAGGCGGAGGCGGCGGTGTTGCTGGTGGCAGGACTTGTTCCGCAGATGGTGGAGAATCGGAGACACTCTCAAAATTATCTCTCTTCTTTGTTCTCCTCCTGTTTCTCTTACTCTGATTGTACAATGAGGCAATAGCTGTGGCTAATTCCTTCGTGCCACTCTTTCTCCGCTGAAGCTTCTGAGGCTTTTCCACCGGAGGTGATAGGTCCGTTGGCAGCGACGGCGGCATAGGAGGTGACGGTGGTGGAGGCTCTTGTTTTTTGTTGTGCTCAACTTCAGCTTCATTACTCTGCATTTCAGCCTTGTCTTTGCGCGGAACAGTGTGAAAGGATCTTCTCCTTTTCAAATTCGCCTGAGGCGCCTTCGATGAGCTAATCGGAGGAGGTTTTTCCGGCAATAAAGGTTCAGGTGGAGAAGAACGACTTTCAAATGTATCCACCGGAATCACCTTAACGTCAGGTTCTTCCCTCTGCTTCTCGCTCCTCCGTTGACGGTGAGTATCATATTCCGATGCTGTAGAACGGTACAAATTCACACCAAAATCATCATAAAACCGAGAATGATTCTCACCGGTTTCCCATTGCGGCACTTGTCTCAGATCAGGATAGGAGCTGCTGCTTCTTCTCAGACGATTGACACTAGTTTCAGGTACACCAAAATGATATGTTTTCTCATCACTAGCCTCAAACCATCGATCATTAGAAACAGGACGCCGCATATCATGATCAACATCAACATCAGCTGATGCTGATCCATCATTAAAATTAGAAGATTCAGTAGTTGAAACATTCCTATTTCTCTCAACAGCTGAATTATCATCATTCTTTCGGGCAAATATGCCGCAAAGAATAGCAAACACTACAAGCAAGATATTAAAAGAGTCCCATCCCTTTTTCACAGAATTAGGTCGAAGAATTTGGGTAGTGTGGGTAAGGAGAGGGGGAACCAAAAAGAACAAGACGAGGAGAGCGAGAATGGGTATGAGTAGGATGAGAATAACGGGGTTGATGATAGGAGGAGAAGGTGGTTGTCGGCGGTGTTGACGGAGGAGTGTGGTGGTTGGTTGGGACCAGATAGGTGGAGAGTCTCCATCGAGTTCCATGGAGTGTTAAAGGGTTTTTTCCCTTCTTTTTTTTTTTTAGCTTTAAAGGTGGACAGAAGAAGAAAGCTTTAAAAGCTTTTGGGAGGGAGAGGGTGGCCTTCATTAATGATGATTGATGATAGAATTTATAGAAAATGTTTTCGCCTTTATTAAAGTATACTGTTGCCATTTCAATTTATGTGAGTTAGTTTAAGATGGTAAATCATTTTATTAAGTGTTAAATAAATATTTTAAAATTAAATTTATTACTAAATATAGAAATGTTAGTTTGATGCGATAAAATATTTCATTAATGATAAAATGATCATTTTAAAGTTAAATTGTAAATAATATAAAAAGTATTATTAGTTATAATAATTGATAATTTAAAATATTTAAAAGATATATGAAAATTTACTGTCAAAGATAGACATCTCGAAATCTGAAATATGTCACATAAATTGGGACAAAGGGAGTACTAAATATAGAAAGAAAAATAAATCATATAAATTGAGACAGAGTAGTTTTTTCATGTTAATCTATTTATCTAGTTTTAATTTAATACAAATTTAAGAAAGTAAAAAAACCTTTTAAATTATAAAATCTTAAATTAAAAATATGTAGCATGTACTAAAATCTTCTTTAATCTCTAGAATAAAAAAAAATATTGTTTGAAAAAGACATTTTTAAAAAACGAATTCAAAATATAAATAAGTAAAACAAATTGGAACAAATGTATTTTAGTAACTCATTTTCAATAAAAAAAAATATTGGCTGTGTTATGTATACGGGTGTGCTGGAGCCTCCTATTAATTTCCAACAATCATTAGTCTCTAATTCTCATTTTTCAATTATCGCAATAGCTAAGTTTTGAATAATTTCAATTGAATTATACGAGGAAATGAAAGAATTTGAGTTGTACTCTCAAGACCTGAGACGAATTCAGAATTTGAAATTTTCGAATGCATCAATATTACCTTAGCTCAAATATGAGCTCTAATCTAATATCAACTCTGGTCTCATGGATGGTTTCTCTAACTTAGACCCACACCACAAGGCACTTCTATTCGTTTAATGAGTTCACTGTTAACTATATTCTAATTTCTGTCAGTTTCTCAAAATAGATATACATATATGCATATGATTTTTTTCGAAATTAGCAGGTGCACGTGAGCTCCCTCTGCTCAAGGTACAATAGTATTTTAATTTATAAATGGAATGCAAGCTAGAATTGTTTTTCTCTTTAAAACAAAAGTTACACAAATTAATTAAATTTCTCTTTTTGATCAAGAATTGTAACACATATGTTGGCTAAACTTGAACAAAAAATGGTGCATTCCATATTTATGTCATTTGTTGAAAAGTTGTTGGTTTAAATCTATGGTAGGTTACTTGATAATATGTTTAAGAATGCAGTATCTACCTAATATATAATGTCCCTTGCCATCTAACACTAAACTAAAGAAAGAAAGAAAATAAGTAACTTAATTTTTGCATAATGTTTTTGTATATCCCCAACTTGTGTCATAATAAAAGGCCGATGTCAAACAGTTGTTGGTCAGAGGGGGAGCCCTAATTCCCGGGGAAGGAATACTGAATAATACGTCTATATATTAGAGAGAAGAATAATGTTTTGTTGGAGCGTGGCTGTAATGATTGAAGTTTCAAAACTTTATAACATGAAAAATACCAAAGGACACCTTTAAATCAAGTACTACTAATTCATCTGCTACAACTTTATCTAAACAATCAAGAAAAGGACACCCCTTTGGGGGTGGGGGTCCCCTCTTCACTTTTTTACCCATCCCCTTCATATTTCAACATTTCCAAATTGCACTACAATGTTTGGCTTAAAGGAGTACAATAACTTATAGTAGTAATTAGTGATGTAAGTTAAAATTACGACAGAATTTTAGAAGAGCGTAATAAAACATATATGAAGTAGCTAATTGAATTGTTTAACGTGGATGTTTAAAATGTTTATAGAATGAAGATGGAGTATAATGATATTGTTATATAAGAATAAGGGGTATTTGGAATTGCAATAATTATATGGGTATCAAGGTTTTGAGCCACATCATATAAAAATTTGGGAGAGGATGCTGGAGATGAAAATGAAGAGGAGTGTCCATTACTGAGAACTAATTTGGATTCTTGTTGGAGAAATCAACTAGAGAATTCATCCATCTAGTAAAGAGATTGATGGTGCAATATAGGGAGAGAGAGTGGCGTGTATGGTCTTCATTGGCCTAAATAATATCATACGACAAAAAACCCCTATGGGAGTCTATTGAGATGTTTAGAGACTAGATGTGTACTTGTATCTTACATTAGGGATATTGAAGACATGCACACTAGAATCGAAACCTTAGTGAGGACAGTGAAAGAGATTTGGAACACTTTCTAGTTGTAATAAAATTGCTCCAAGATCTGATCTTAGCCCATTTCTTTTTTGCTTTGGTGATGGATCAACCAATGTGACATATTTGAGGGGAGGCTTCATGGTGCATGTTATTTGAAGATGACATAGTAATGATTGACGATACTCGTAGCAAAGTTCATGATAGATTGGTGGTTTGGAGACAAGACCCTAAAATCCAAAGAATTCGGGTTGAGTAGGACCATGAAAGGGTATTTGTGGTATGAATTTAGTGACGTGACACACGAGACATATGAAAGTGAGGATTGATGCACAAGTTATGAGAGAAAACTTCAAGTATCTTAGGTCTATAATCCAAGATATTGGAGAGATTGACGATGGTGGTAAAAAAAGAAGTCTTGTATCCAAAATCTTGTGTGATAAGAATGTACTATCAAGACCTTAGGGTAAGTTGTATAAAGTGATTTTCATACCAACTATGTTATATGGGATGGAGTTTTGATCAGTCAAGAACTCCTATGTTGAGAAGATGAAAATAATGAAAATGAGGATGATGAGGTGGATGTGTGGGCATATAATTATGAGAGATAGAATTAGGAACAAATATATTCTGGACAAAGTGGAAGTGACTCCAGTGATGGATAAGTTGAGGGAAGCGATACTGAAATGGTGCAGACATGTGAAGAGGAGATGCAAAGATGATCTGGTGAGAAGGTGTGAGAGGTTGGGTATGGCGAGTATGAGAGGAAAGGTAGAGTTAGCGGTAAATCGAAAAAATATTTGAGAGGATTTATTAGACATGATATTGCACATTTACAGCTTACCAAGGACATGACCCTATATAGAAGGATATGGAAGTCGATGATTAGCGTAAGATTAGTAGGTAGTCGAGCATTGTCTAGGTTTCATATTTATCAATTAGTTGTTGTTCCTTGCTTCGGTTATCATATTATGTGATGTTTGCTATTGTTCTCTTTCGTATTATGTTCAACATGATTGATTCATTGTTATATATTTCTTTTCATACTTGTTTTTGTAATGTTTTACTAGTGCTGAGAATCTATCAATAACAATCTTTTAAAGTGTAATATTTTGTTTCGAAAAATAAATTTAAACTATCAATATTAAAGTGTCGATTATGTTTTAATCGAGGTTAAGGCAATATTCTCTCTGTCTCATATTAGATAGAGATTTTCTATTTTATACGGTAATTAAGAGATCATTAATAGATTGATCAATTTTAACATTTTGCCCTTTGTTCATATTAATTAGTCTTTTGAAAAAAGAAATTTTGAATCTTTAAAATTTGTTTAAACTTTCAAATGTCATATTAATTGTAGGGATAAAATGGGAAAAGTTAATTAATTCTTCCCAATTTAGAGTGATAAAGTGATATTAGACAAATATTTTTAGTAAGATGCCATTTAATATTGACAGATTTATTACTTTAAAATACTCAAATTACTTCAAAAATATTAATTCATAAAATTACTATTAATGAAAAATTAAGCTTCTAAAATTTGATGCCTAAAATTATTGCTTTAGCTGAACCTTATCCTTCAACCAACATTTAAATCAATAAATATATACTCGCTAAAATAGTTAAAATGTAATATGACCCGAAAATTATTATCATGAAAAGTAATTCCAACATAAATTGTCTCAAAATCAAACGGTAGGTCATAGTTTAAAGTAAATTGCAATTGTTCATGTATCAAACTTTATTTATTTATTTGATTTTCAACGCAGTATCGGAGTTCTCATTAAAGTCCCGATTAAATTTAGATTGTATAGTGCAGAGCCTATTTGAGAGTAGCGCTCCTAATATGATTGTCTCTATATTCAATACTCGGACCTAATATCTCTAATTAAAATTGAAGCAGTTTCATCACTGTATCAAAATTAGGAGGGGGAATGTCAAGTCAAATCCACTACGTATGAGATTGACTTTTTGCGATTTTCGAGTCCATTTTTGGTAGTTGGCTAAATCTTTAGGTCCACCTATCACATTAACTATAGCATGCAGGAAATTATACTCTCACGCAGTAGAATGTTTGCCAAAATAATAATAATATTTTCTTTGTTTTAATTTGGTTATTTCATTTTGACTTCATACAGAACGTAAATAGGATTTTTGTATTTTGTAATTTTTAAATTAAAGATATATTAAATATTATCAAATATTTTTTAATTTTTTTGTTTTAAAGATTCTATATGAAATATATTGACTCTAATAATTTATGAAGTGGATTAATATTGGATCAAATTTAAGCAAATGCTAAAAAAGAAGTAATTTATTTCTGATTTACGTAATTTCCGCAGAATTACTCACTGCCTATACTCAAGGGCAGACGTATTACAATTTACAGCAATTTAAAAAGTATTTTTGAACAACAATTATAATTAGTGTTTGATCAAATTTAAAAATAATAATATTTTTAATGTATTTTTTCATAAATTCTTTTGAGAAAAAACTATGTTTTTCAACTACTCAAAATCACTTTTTCTTCTTTTAAAAGATTGGTCAATCACCTCCACTTTGAAAAGAAATAATTTTTTTTAAAAATAAATTAATAAGCACTATTGAATTTGAAAAATCTTAACCAAGCAGGATATAAATATCTAATAAAAATAAACTTAT